TTTTGGTGAAAAATAAATATAGCGAAGTTGAATACTTTAGTTTTATTCTACTCAAGTAAAAGTAAAAGTACCACAATTTAATTATACTCAAGAAAGTAGAAACGTTTTTAAAATGTACTCAAGTACTGTAACGAAAGTATTTGTAATTAGTTACTTTCCACCTCTACTTAAAATCCACTCATTTGCACGATGCATGAAGCCTATGCAACCTAAGTTTGCTGCAGTTTTTAAAGTCAAAGCGTGTCATTTTTTGGATGTTAAAATACATTCTCCAGTTTGATGTACAGAAATAACTTTAAATAAGCAATTTCAGGTTAAATTGTCTTTATTTTTGCAATTCCATGTGCTGCCATTAGTGGCGCCAGAATTACCTTTCCACCAGCTTATAACATATTTTAGGGAACTACATGGAAACTTGTAATGTTAATTTGTTAGCATTTGTACTTGGCAAGCTAGCTTTTGCTTTGTATTATTTGTGTTATACATATTCTACTCTTTCTTCCAATAAATGAAGAAAAAATAGCTAAATTAATTTGCATAAGAAAAACTAACCAAGGCATATTGCAGTCAGGACTCTTAGAATGTGCTGAGTAAACACAGTCCTGGCCTCCATTCAACTGTTAGCCAGATATGTGCAAATAGTACAAAAAAATGGCAAATCTGTTACCAAGATACTGATACAAACCCACAACAATGGCATCATAGGGAATTGAGCTCTTTAGCTATTTGCCAACAAAAACGAAAGGCATTATAGCACAGCAGAAAATGACATGTCTCATTCATCATTGCCAGAGCTCCGATTCGCTTTTAGCCGTAGGCTGCTGGAATCCTGATGGCTAGTTTAGACATGTTGATTTTCACACATCTTCAGCACATGGTTTCAGGCCATTGCAAAGTCCTGACGAAGCACATTTAGAGGATGGGATCTACAAGCATGATCAATGACTCATTGTGCTCGTGCACATAGGAGTCATGCTATCAGACGTGCTGGTATTCATCCATGAGGACCTGTGTTTGGATCATTCGCCTAGAGACTAGAGCAGAAATCCTGCTGAAAAAGCTGGTCTCCCAGCCAGGTCAGACTGAACTAGTTTGCTGGTTTTAGAGTGGTTTTGGCCATTGTACCCTTCCCAGTTAATCCACAATATTACAGACTAGAGATCAGTCAATATTGGCTTTTTAATCATATCTGATATGTGGAACCATTCTTTAATATTTTTATTCATGTATTTTATTTTATACAATAACTACATTATCCTTATACTACATTTTGTAATATATGCATTATAAATATTTTATGAATATTTATTATTATTAATACTGTTATTGTTGTTGCCATTATATTTATACAAAGCAGTTTTGTACACTACCATTGAAAAGGTCAGTAAGATTTTTTAAAAAATTTTTATTTTTGGATAGGATTCGTTACCAATAAGGCTATTGGCTCAGACCAATCCTAGATTTGGAAAGAAGTTTCTTATGCTCACCAAGGCTGCATTTATTTGATAAAAACAGTAATATTGTGAAATATTATTGTAATTTAAAACAACTGCATTCTATGGTAATACATTTTAAAATGTAATTTATTTCTGTGACGGCAAAGCTGAATTTTCAGCAGAATTTTCCAGTTACCATGATCCTTCAGAAATCATTCTGTTGATTTGGAGCTCAATAAAAATGTCTTAATGTTATTAGTTGAAAGTTGAAAGCAATTGTGCTGGTTTTTTTTCATCATCTCTGACTCTGATGAATAGAAAGTTAAAAAGAACAATTATCCTTATACTACATTTTGTAATATATGCATTATAACTATTTTATGAATATTTATCATTATTAATACTGTTATTGTTGTTGCCATTATATTTATACAAAGCAGTTTTGTACACTACCATTGAAAAGGTCAGTAAGATTTTTAAAAAATTTTTATTTTTGGATAGGATTCGTTACCAATAAGGCTATTGGCTCAGACCAATCCTAGATTTGGAAAGAAGTTTCTTATGCTCACCAAGGCTGCATTTATTTGATAAAAACAGTAATATTGTGAAATATTATTGTAATTTAAAACAACTGCATTCTATGGTAATACATTTTAAAATGTAATTTATTTCTGTGACGGCAAAGCTGAATTTTCAGCAGCCATTACTCCAGTTACCATGATCCTTCAGAAATCATTCTGTTGATTTGGAGCTCAATAAAAATGTCTTAATGTTATTAGTTGAAAGTTGAAAGCAATTGTGCTGGTTTTTTTTCATCATCTCTGACTCTGATGAATAGAAAGTTAAAAAGAACATGATTTATTTTAAAGGAATTTTTATAGCACTGTCTTTACTGTCAATTTGGATCAATTTAATGCAGAACATTGCATATTCTTGCTGAATAAAAGTATTAACTTCTTTCAAATACACAATCATACTTAACCCCAACTTTTAAATGGTAGTGTACACAGCCAATTTACAGGCTTAAGTGACTTTTCCAGACCATGAAACCACGTCAAACAAACTACACTTAAAAAAATTAAAAAAATAATATATATATATATTAGAATATTGGTGATAAAGGCTAAAGGATAAAGAATAAAGGCTCAGTGGCAATCATCAAGACCTGAATTTGTTCCTCATATTCTTTTTTAGTGGCTTTATTTAATGAATATTCCACATATAGTATGTATCACCACATGGATTTCTTGAAATAAACTTGATAAACATTATAGTAGCTCCTAATACTGGCAACTATTTTTATGTTATTTCCTCTCCATTTCACTTGGTTCTTGGTAAGTCTTAATTTTAAATACTAGAAACCTAAAAATAATTACTGAATGACTTCTATTCGACACAAATTGTGCATGAGATTGTGGACTATAGTGAATTACAAGCAGCTGGCTGATAAATGGAGTGAATTTTGCTTATAAAAGCATTTATGTTTTTTATCAAACATTTAAATCTTTTGTTTGCAAAAGACTTTGGGATTGACAACTTGCAAACAAAAGCTATCTCTCTCTCTCTCTATCTCTCTATCTCTCTCTTTCTCTCCCCGTGTTGCTTACTCTTCTGAGATATGTCAGATAGCATTCCTCAGGCTTTTGTTTCACGCACTGAAGCCACCAACAACAATCTGATCTCTCTGGCACGGATGTTTACAGCGCTCCGCTCCTGTGCTTTGGCCAGTGCGCTTTTCTTCTGCTTCCTGTCTGTCAGGGTGGAGGGAACAACCACCACTCACAGCAATCCTGATTACAATGCATGAGGGCACACAGTACACGGTATGGATATGAGCGGCAGTCTAATGGAGCGCCACAGAATAAAATCCGATGGGGGTTTGAACCCTGGCAGGGGCGAAGAAGAGAGCTTTTTGTCTGCGCCGACCCAGTTGAGTGATACTTGCTCCCTGATGCAAAAAACACACGACATTGAAAGCGAGGCGGTTTAAAGCCTTCATTGTCTGTGTCGGCAGGGACCGATATTGTATTTCAATAGAGCTCTGAGTCCAAGCCACACAGAGTTCAGAAAGGAGAAAGAGCCTTTCTCGATCCGCGTGGCTGATAGTGCCTACAACTGCGCCCATTTGCACTCTTTCTGTCTTTCCTTCTTCTTCTGGCCCTTCTCACTCCCTCTTTCTTACTCCCTTTTCGCTCACAAAAGTCCAGACAGAGCCTCCAAATCTTACCCCAACTTTCCTGAGGCCCAATGGTGTTTTTCTTGGGATATGTGAGGGCTGAAAACTTGAAGGCCAATCTTTCTCCAAGTACATGTTTTCTTTCCATAATCACTGGTTTCTAATAAGACTAGATAAATGTACACATTGGGTAGAAAAGGTTCATATCAGAATCTTAACTCATTATTTTGTGAACCAGAGTGTGTTTTTGTGCATGTGCTAGAAGAGAAGGCTGTAATTGCTGGAATGATAACGCAAACACTATAGATTGTATACCATCTCGTTGCGAACATCTAGAGTCAGCAGTGCTCTAGGCCAAATGGTCCTTCCAGCAATTACAACATCAATTCATACGCTAACCCTGTGGACGCACCCCACGCTGTTTCTACAACACCCCCACCAACTAACAAGAGAACTAACAACTTAACAAACCAGCCAACTCACCACACCTCAGCCAAGATCCGAATCAAAGTATGTTTAAACCCACTTCATCATTGCAAGTGAAACCTGCAAGAAACAGCTCTGCCAAGAATCCATTTATACAACTCTTCGTTTCCAGGTTTTAGTGGTTTGATGTTTCACAACAGTGAAATTGCTATTTGAACAATCTAAAATAGTGCTCACATGGAGTCCTCACCATCCATTTTGTCAAACAACATTTTTGCTGGTCTGTGTTTAAGGCTGCGTGGAAATACTGAAGGAAACAACTGCTAAAGTTACAATATAGCTTGTGAAGCAACAAACTAATGACAATTTAAAATGGTTCAAATTTAGTCAAGCCACCCATTAATAAAATACAATAAAAATTGTTTTAAAGCAAATAAAAACTATACTGTAAAAAAACTACATTTAGAACCAAATCTTGTATAACTAAATATGAATTAAGCACATTTAGGTAAAAAAAAAAAGGTATAGTATAGGTATCACTGTTTCCATAAAATACTAAGCAGACAACTGTTTTCAACATTGATTATAATAAAAATGTTTCTTGTGCACTAAATCAGCATATATTTGAATTATTTCTGAAGGATCATGTGACAATGAAGACTAGACTAATGCCTGCTTTGCCATCACAGGAACAACTGTATTACTGTTTTATTATTTAAATAAATTAATATAAATAAATGCACAAGAGACTGTATACTGAAACATATCTTTATAATTATGTTTTGGTGTTTTTTCTGATTCACATTTTTATTAACTTTGCGGTCATGCTACTATTCTTGACTATGCATCCACCTCATGTTCTAATGCTTCATTGTGAGCTACTGAATGCACATAAAAGGCACATAAGGACTCTTTGCTGCATTAGAGGTGCTGGTAAAGGTCTAGTAGTGAATGAATCGCACCTCTGCTGGTTTGTCTCTGTGTCCTTGTGCATTGCCTCTTCGTAGGTTTACGATGTGCACCTCCTGAGGGAGGCTGGTGGTTCCTCGGCTAGCGCAGCCTGATAGGGCAGTGAAACTCTTTAACATGGCCTGAACCGGGTGACCCACCCCAACTGGCAAAGGTTCACAAGGGCTCCGAGACAATGGACCTGCATATAATACAAAACATGGCATGAACATCATAAATAAACACATTCTACCTCATTATTCTGCATAAAGATAGCATTTCAGTGTTTAAATCATATCACTGGAATGTATACAGGCTTTTACAAAGAACTCTGTGAAGTCATTTCAAATCCATGCCACAAGAATGTAAGAACTCAAAGCATCCCATATGACTATGTGCAAGCCAGTTATGATAAAAACCTTTAGCAAAAATTCTGCACAATTAAAAAAAATGAAACCAGTGTTTATGTATTGCAGTTCTGTCATTGATAAATGATAAGGGTCAGCTACACTCTAAAAATGCTGGGTTGTTTCAATGGGTCAACTATGGACTAACCCAACTGTTGGGTTAAATTTTGGTAAAATTTTTAAAGTAACTTTTTAACCCAACAGTTGGGTTAGTCCATATTTGACCCAAAATTGGGTTGAAACAAGCCAGCATTTTTTAGAGTGTATTAAGAAACCATCTAAAAAGCCAAAACAGATAATAAATGAACTAGAGAAAATTGTGTTTTAGTTACATATATACTATGTTTGTGTGTGTGTGTGTGTGTGTGTGCTACGGCTGCACGATATCGTAACTTTTTAACCCAACAGTTGGGTTAGTCCATATTTGACCCAAAATTGGGTTGAAACAAGCCAGCATTTTTTAGAGTGTATTAAGAAACCATCTAAAAAGCCAAAACAGATAATAAATGAACTAGAGAAAATTGTGTTTTAGTTACATATATACTATGTTTGTGTGTGTGTGTGTGTGTGTGTGTGTGCGCTACGGCTGCACGATATTGGAAAAAACTCGCATTGCGATATTTTATTTTTCTGCAATATATTTAGAGATATGAAAAAAAACACCACATGACTTGAATAGTTTATTTGGGGGAAAAAATAATCAATGATTGGGGTGATTTTGTAGGCGAGTAAATCAGCATAGGAAATAAACAAATTACAAGCATAGATAAATAACAGAACAACGACACAAATGAAATAAGCAGTGCTTTTTATTTTTCAGGTAAATCTAACAGTATTCGGGTACAGAAATTGAATAATCAAATGTAAAATAACACTGCATAGTCTTCACTGTATAAATTAAATCTAATAAATCTGTGTTAAAGCTCCAAAAGTGATTTTACTTTGTTTTGTTGTTTGATTAACATTCATAACACAGAAAGCCTCAGGAACATTAAACTGCTGTAAACCAATATACTATTACACATCCATTTTCTTTCTCAATTGTTTCCCTTTACCTAAGCCATAAGCAACTGCGTTTACAAGGATACTTGCAGA